CATAACACTGTATTCGCCAATACAAATTCATCCCAATAAATAATTTTGCATTTATCCATATAATAACCCCCATTAATGTAATATTTCATCACCAGGTTGCTATAAAAATTATCGACACTAAGAAAATTAAGGAAGATTACGTGAGACAGAACTTATATCGTGAAGCCAGAATCCTTGCCAAAGTACGTCACCCAAATGTCATACGGCTATATGAAACAATTAAGGTAAGCATTACCATGGTTACCAAGTAACATGACACAGTGACTTGAGATGTAAATCAATGTGAACGAGAGATGCTAGACAGTGCTCCCGTGTGAAGTGGACTCAACACTCTTTGAAGTTTACTGAACACGTGACATACAACCATATCAGACTCGGCACTGTCCACGTTACTACATATATTGGTTGAACACTAATGACACCATGTTTCAATTCTTTTGACCAAGCTTAAAATAGTTATTTGGCATGCAAATTAGTGTCAGATATTCAACTACACATACAATACAAAGGGCCCAAATTAGTTTGATCAACTGTGAGAAATCTCTAGGCAAATACGGCGTAGATCTCTACACAAACGGGACATTATTGGTCGACGTGATGCCCTCGTAATGCGCCGATCATTCGAATAGCACGCGAGAGCCGCGACCTAATGGATCGGAATAACCAATCAACGCTCTATTAGCTCGGTGAAATTTCATAGTCGTTTGTGCAATGTAGATCATTGACACGTCTGTGAAATTTAAATATCACTCTTTTGTTTTCATTAGTTTTATTTTATGTTGTTGTAATTTTTGAGCCATTTGCCAAACTTCCTATTAGGGCTTCTTATTTTTCCGAATGTTTTTCGGTTACCTACATTGTATGTATAATAGCCATAGGTGCAAATAACTCCCAATAAATGTCCATTATTTATTGTATTCATGAAGTAAGGCGGGACACAATTTATTGAATATAAAATTGCAACAACAAAAAAATCACAAAAGCATGATTAATACTCACATATTTGTACCAAATTATAATTAGATCTTCAATTCATCGTCTGTGTACCAAATTGCAATCTACCCAGATATTGGTGGAACGAGATTTGACAACAATATTCAGACATACAGACGGAATTCAAACAGCGTGACTAAAATTTAGAGTAATTATTAGTTTGTAGCCAATATATCTCCCGTTACACTGCCATGATTACACTCGCATTTATACTAATATGCGACTTTTTCTTTAAAACAACAACAACAGTCAAGCACACTGTATTGCCTGGTGACTGAATATGCTGGGGGAGGTCAATTATTGGAATTTGTACGTAGTCATCGAGATGGTAGACTAAACGAAGAAGCAGCACGACCATTTGTACGTCAGTTGATATCAGCATTACATCATTTACATGAACGCGGCATAGTTCACAGGTAGGTGAATATATATACTGTTCATTATGCAGTTTATTCTTGGTAACGGTGGTTGGTAAATCAGGTATTTCCTGGTTACGGCGTGTTTATCCATCACTGTAAAGTAGATATCCCACACTCATTGTGGGAGTGTTGGGGGATCTTATCCCAAGGAAAAACATACCCACAATGTAACTTCCCCCACGACAAACTCGGTGAAATATTTCAACATTTTCGTTTGTTAAATATATACAGTGTAAGAATTTCTCTGAATAATATATTTAAAGTAACAATGTTGCTATTAGATTTGGACAAGTTCACAACAGTGTCGCTATGTTTTGGTATCAGTGGTGGTGATCTATGACGTGGATGTCGGTAACACGGGCGACGGATCCAAGCAACGATAATGTGTACAAGAATGCAACACTGCGTGATCACGTCGTATCTCCTCGATGACACAGTGGCTGGCGTCTAGCATTGCTGATCATCAAAATAAAATTATGACAGGTGGCACAGATTTTAAAATTGTTATTTTTGATGCAAGATGTGCACAATTGATTACTCTACCTGTAATCCGTGACATTAGTCACCATCCCCGACAAACCACTGCACGGAAACCATGACCGTAACGTCTCCATGGAAACATCCAATTTTTGATGACACATCAATTAATATGACCTTACATATATGATTGTGCGCCATGTCCTTGGCGTACTTATAATCTAATATCGTCTGCTCTATATGTTGTAGAAGTGGAACACCAATCTTTCACAATAATATTCAAGGCCTTACCGGCATTACCTGGTGTCACGTGATTGATGTAAATAACTGTGTTTTCAAGGACATATGAATTCGTCTGTCGGCATTGCTAGAGTAGCTATGTCAGCAAACGGTCACCTTAACGGGGCCAAGGCCGTCTACACTGTACTGGCAAATATGTTTCCATTTGTGCGGACAGTGTGTACCCCTGCCCAGTGGCAGCGCCGCCTGTAGGCACGACACGATTGACACTAACAATATCTGAACACACTTTCAGCAAATTATACAAAAACAAAGAGTGTATTCGTCGCTTGGGGGCGACATAACGTTTATTTTATATTATATTTTATAAATATGTTGATTTTGGATCGTACACAATATTAAAGTTTAATGGGCATTAAGACACGACAACGAGTTACCGGGTATTATATAGTATAATGTACACAGTTACCGGGTATATATATATATAGTATAATGTGACCAGTTAATGGGTTAATATCCGTCGTATCCTCTGTACAATATAATAAGTTAATGGGTATATATACGATATAATGTAACCAATTAATGGGTATAGTACGGTATAATTGAAATATGCGTTCAACTCGCTGATTCACAAATACACACTATTCACAATCTACTCTAATTCTGTGAGTGACCCTTGACCCGCCATTTAAACGATGTTTAGTTTTAATTTGCTGGCCTCAAAATACGATTCTGTAAACGAATGGTTGGCGAATAGGCCGTGACCTCGCGACCTCGGCACACAAGTAACATCTTGCTTTCAGTTAAGCATTCAAACCATTAAAAATCAGTCTTCTGAACCATAATGGCGCTTGATAATCGTTAAGATGTTGCCATGGAAACAAGATGATGAGTCACTTGTTCCATTGTCAAGCTCATCACTTTTTCTTGCTGATTGACCTGATATGAAGAGGTCCCTAGATTCCGTTAGCCCTGGAAAAAAATGACATCATCTTCGCACGGCACAAAATATGACACATCCGTATTTTTGCCGCTTCAATGCGCGCAGCATGACAATATATGTTAACCTACGTTCATTTTAGAAAATGAGAGTGAATACGGTGATATCGCGTTAGTTCACCGAGAGTCAAGGACCCTTGGCTTCCAACAACCACCAGAATAATTATCAATATTCGCTGCTCTCGCTTCGTAAATTTCACGCGACTTTCAGAAATTTAAGTCAATAGTATAATTGCATGCTAGAGACTTAACATAGAGTGCAATAGGGCATGCCTTGGCACTTTCAATCATGTTCATATCAAATAATGCCACTTCTTTATTAGTCACTACATCAAATATTAAACTTGCCTAGGGAGTTGATGGAAACAGTTTGGTGCAAGAATCTTCGTTATAATCTGACAAGCGACATATGAGCAAGGAAACGCCAGAAACAATAATTGAATTGTACAGTGCGGGAACTAGTGTGTTGCTATCTATAATTTTTAGTTTATGATCACGTGACTATGGGTAGTTAAACCACTCAGATTTTGTTAAAAGGGAAACGACCACGTGATCATATTAATCAAAAGCTGTCCTTGCTAGATTAGCGTCGTAGAGACAGATGGTGCGGGATTTCGTGATATGGTAATTGATACACCCGTTATTGCCCATTTTAGGGGGTGATTCAATGGAGACAATACCCCGTGTATAGCACACATTGTACAACTCTTTATTTTATTAATATTCTTGTTTTTTTAATGATTAAACGTGGTTTCATTCATATAGAGGTATGCCCTTATATGGTCGTTGCTGGGAGCGTGAAAGCTGCGGTGGCATATGACAGGCTGATTGAATTGAACATTTCGATGACAAATTATGACTGCAGCCATATATATGATTCATCTAATTTAGTCAGTGTCAGCATATGCGAGCATTACATTTTTTTTAGCTGAACGCTAATGTTGTTTAATTTTGGAAGGAAACGACGTTCTTATGTACAAATCAGGATTTCGCCGAGCAACAAACTCGGTCACTGTGCGGTGTGCCCTCAACGGTTGAACGCCAATTGTTGGTGGATGTGTTAAAAATACATAATTACGATGACATTACATCGCCTACATCGACAGCGTACGTTACTGTGCCATACATATGCTACAAAAGTGGGCGAAGTGTTATGGTGACACGTTGCATCTCACTGTGGTATTATAGAAACGTTCAGCTTCACGTATTGGCCCACCTTCCTGACATCAAAGACGCCGATACCAATCTGAGATGTCGACAGGTACCTGAAGTTGTAACAATTCTGGTCGTGCTGAGCTATAATAAAAAAACTGTCTTTTAAAACAATTTGACACTGAGTTCATTATTTTGTAAGTTGAACAGAAAATTCAAACGATGATTTTTTTATTGTGAGTTTCGTCCTATTTTAAAGGTTTTCAAGGTATTTTCCTATTGAGTGAGTCACGACTGTAACACGGCATGGACGGATTTCCTCACGTACACACATGACTAATGTCGGCTTATCAGTACATAGGCTTTCCCGCATAAAACAGTGGCAATTAAAAATGTAGTCGATGTCTATTGGTACATTAGCCACGTGTAACCAGGCGAAAATCACTCATGTCGGTGAATGGCGATCTGCGTGTGTAACGGACCTCCGTAATACTTTAAAGAGTTGAGGAAGTATATTGTATTGATTTACGACCTTCACAAATAAACAAGTTGGCCATGGTCGCATTATCATTGCAAGCTCAGTGAATGTCATTTGTGTCCATTGTATGTCAGGTGCAGGCATTCTCCGCGTACTACCCAAGACGAGACGAGGGGGACTAGCCGAGACCCTGCTTTATAAGTGATTGGTATGCTGTAGAACACTACACAGGAAATAGACGTAGCGTTACGTAGGCACACAGTGAGAGGGATATTTTTATGTAGCCTTATTATTTTCCTGTTAACGGTTTTAATATTGGTTGAATGTACGTAAGGACAGGCACCGTGACCTTCAACGTAAAACGTGTTTTTGTTGGGTTCGCTGAACCTATCAATTTTGAACGTTGAGGGCGGCAAGTAGTTACATGTATGACAATGCTCAACACCGCCTAATTATTAATTTATTACAGGTGTTTTGGCAGTGTCAAGAAGTGATATTTATATTGAACTAATGATGGGGAATTCCATGCCAAGTTCAATGAGATGTATCAATATTTATTTATATTTTATTAAGTGTTTAATAGTACAACTGTAAATACATTGTTTATTTACACTTGTGATATTATAATGGAACAAACTCAAGACGACCCAAGAAATATTCAGAATGTCGTCATATTACGGACAGGATATTAGGATAGTGTAATACATTTACCATCTGTCGTGTCATCAGAGTCCGAAATTAGTGGCCGGAGACAACAAGAAATGGTGCGATGGTTGCAATTGTTATAGTCTTCGTCCTATGACATTGCTACGACATGTTGTAAGTTGGGAATCAAGTTTGACAAAGAAAGACCTGTTAACTTACATCAAGTAAGCGTCGCGTTACTAGCCATTTTAAGGAATTGTGGGAGTGGAAAACTAAAATGAGCATTGCAAAACTTTTATCAAGAATCATGAGCGTTCATGTGTTGTTTTTCATCATGATCGTTCAAATTCCACTTGGTCTCTCATCAATCACTACAAATCTCTCGTTGTCTCTCATCGATCACCAGAAATTCAATGTGGTCTCTCACCAATTACTAGGAATCCAATGTTGTTTCTGACCAATCACCAGGAATTCAACGTGTTGTCTCACCAATCGCCACAATTCTATCGTGGTCTCTCACCAATCACCAGGAATTCAATGGTGTCTCTCACCAATCATCGGGAATACAACGTGGTCTCTTACCAATCATCACCAGGAATCCAATGTGGTCTCTCGCCAGTCACCAGGAATCCAATGTGGTCTCTCGCCAGTCACCCGGAATTCAATGTTGTCTCTCACCAATCACAAAAAGCTGTCGATAAACAACCACATTGTAATCCCCATATGTACGTGACAAGATTACACAATATGTGGTTATGAGTAATTCCTAAATATATAAAAAAGAAGATTTTCATTCTATCCTTAGTATTGGTGGGATTGTGAATTCACGTCGTGTGGCGCTTTTGAAGTGCAGCTGTATGGCAGAGGCCTGCTCAGCGTGCGGTACATGTGTTTTGTATTGTAATTATTGTTTTGACGACGATGGGTTGTCTATTCCCCTAGCCAGTTTCCATGGTAATTGTGATGTGATCCAGTTTACTCCAATAACCTTTAGTTAGATATGTGA